GAGGAATGAACCAGGCCCCGTGGCAAAGGGTGAAGCACAAGAAACGGAAGTGTGGGGGCTGGGGACAAGGGCAGGCAGGCGGGGCTGGGGGCCCTCGTGGCCAGCGCCAAGTCTCACCACCCTGAGAAAGGGGCTGCAACCGCACTGTCAGAGTCACCCCACCTGGGACCTCTAGAGGAACAGGGCATCCGCAGCCCAGTGGGGCCAGCGCCCCTTCAAGTCAGTGTCCCGGGTGTGTGGGGTGGGAGCAGAAAACCCAGCCGCCTGGTCCTGGGGAGAAGCAGCGTCAAGCGCAGCCTGCATCTCTTCTGAGGCACAGAGCTGGGAGCAGAGGGGCACAGGTGGGTGTGTCAGGTGCCCAGGGCCTGGAGGAGTCAATGTCTTGTAATGGCCAGAGGGGAGGCTGGCTTGGAGATGGGACCAGCCCTGCGTGACCGGCGCTGCCGGTTGGGGCTTTCCCCAGGGCCACACCAGCGCCTCACCCTGCAGTGTGAGGGGTTTTACCCATCCAGCCGCCGCCTCGCCAGGACCCGGCCGGGGGTCCCCCTTCCTACCCAGGCCTCTGCGACCTCATCACCAAGACGCTGAGAGTCCACACCTCCTGCTCCAGAACCCCCACCCCGCCGGGTGCTGCACAGCGAGGTGTCGCCCCACGCCTGGAGTGGGTTACACCCTGAGCCCTCAGCAGCCTGGGCCTGGACCCGGCGCCCCAGGCCCACGTACCCCATGGTAACCCAACTGGGCAGCAGTGTGAGACTGCCCAGCTCCCATGAGGACCACACCTGTGCACCCTGGTGAGGCCCAGAGAGGTGGGAACCAACCTGCACCCCACCCCCAGCCCTGAGCCGGCGGTTGTGGGATGGGGACAGCAGCAGGAACCTCTGTCTCCCCTTGGAAGGGTACCCTAGAAGTTACATATTCAACGCCAGTAACCAGACCCCTGTCGTCACCACAGCCACCTGGCACCTACAGTGCTGAGCATACAGTTGACGCTCAATGAAGCACTGAGACAGAGCAGACAAGTCCATCCGGGCCCTGCCGGGCTGCAGGTCACAAGGACCTGAGGGCATCCTGGCAGGGGCCTGCACCTCTACATCTGCCTGAGTCCCGAAGGTGGGTGTGGCGTCCTCCTTGGGGTCTGGGTTGGCTGAGAGTCTGGAGGCGTGACCTCTGGAGCTGGCACTGGGGTTCCAGAGGCTGCCCCTGGGCTGTCCAGGACCCTTAGCATCCCCACCCTAGGGGCAGGAGTCATACCTCCAGCAAGGGGAGCGAGTCAGTAGACTCCAAGCCTGTGCTCTGCCTGGCATACCCCGCCCAGCAGGACTGCCAGGGCTGGGGGCACCTGACACAGGGACTGGCCCAGCACTGTCCTGGGCACCTCAGGGACCAGCCGGGCACTGGGTTTCCCCGCCCACCAGCAGTGGATAGGCTCATGCAAGTACCAGCTCACACATGCACACACATCCACACATATGTGTGCCATACACTTCACATGCACCCATGAACATGAAGTGCGCGCACACACTGTGCCCCTCCCACTCAGGCTGCATAGATCCTGATGTCTCTGCCCTGGGCACCCCAGCCACACGTGTCCCCAGGTCAGCAGCAGTGAGCAGAGCTGTGGGGATGGGGCCTTGGGCCAATGGCAGGCAGCTGAGTGAGTGGGAGGGAGGCCAGGCACCGCTTGGTGGGGCTTGGAGGATGTGGGGACAGGTGGACAAGGTGCTAGGAAGGCTGGTGGATCCTGGGCCACCTGTGAGGCTGGGCAGTGGGACCCCCAGCTAGGCCAGCACCAGAATGGACAGAGCCTGGGTGGTCACTCGGTGCCTCCCTGGAAGGAAGTAGAGCAAGTTCTCAGCGGGGCCAGCGCAACTTCTGGGTTAAGAGAGACCCGTGCCCTACTCGGGGCAGACAGCTCTCCAAAATGCCACACACAGCACAGCAGGTTGTCCCAGCAGGGCCACCACCACCTGGCAGCCCCTCCCTGGGCACCTCGTCCCCAGGCTCCTGGTGGAGGCAGTGTGTGGGGGTGCTGCACCCCAGAGCCCGCAAGTCCTGCCCTGGGCTAAAGGTAGGCTCAGAGCCCATCCTACCTTGGCGTGCCTGGCCCCAGGAGGGTCGGTGGGGCCGGGTGGAGGTGGCCCCGGAGGCCAGCGGCTCCCGCAGGCGGGTGGTGGCAGCAGCGTCTGGTTTCCTAGGTGATGACATTGGAGTCAGGCAGGCGGGCGGCTGTGTGGCCGGCCTGGAGCCCAGGGCAGCCTGGGGGCGGAGCGTGGCCAGGAGCCCTGGGCCAGGAACCTGCCATCAGCTCATACGTGCCGTCCTGCACCTGACCTCTACCCGGCCTCCTCTTCACGGGGAATGGAGCCCACCCCAGCACCAGAAGCCTGCTCAGCAGCCGGGCAGCCAGCAGTGGAAGTGTCCGTCACCGCCGCCTGTCTCTGTGACCAACTTATACAGGAACCCAAAAGCCCAGCACAGCATCTGCTGGTCCCCAGCTTTCCTGTTCTTCCCTGGAGCATGTAAGAGCAAATTCTGCATATCATTTTTCCTGTAATAAGCCCGGACCTGCTTCTAACACATAAGAACCCAGCTTCCTAAATCTGAGGTCAAGTCTGAGGCTGTAGCTCAGTAGTAGAGCACTCGCCTAGCAGGAGGTCCTTAGTTCAAGCCCCAGTATTGGGGAAGAAAACCCTAGTGCATTCCCCCAAAATGAAGTATAGGTATCATTTATTGCAAATATGTACCCCAAAACATGTAGAAATATATTCATGGACTTGCTGACAGTCACATGTTTTTGTCCTGTAGCAACTATGCTGAAATCTGAATTTCTAAGCCCGTTTTTCACTGCCAGTCAAAGACTTCAGAGCTACCCTACTCCAGCTTGGGGAGGAAAATCTGTGTCACCACTTCCTCCCGACAGTCCCCTCACACCCCGGAAATCTCAGGCCAACTTTGGGCAGACTTGGCCACAGGGACTTTGCAGATGGCATGAAGTTAGGGTCTGGAGATAGGGACCCATCCAGGCGGACCAAGGTAACCACAGGGTCCTCAAAAGAGGGAGGTCAAAAGTCAGCGAGGAGGGGCGGTTGCACCTGCTGGCTTGGAGGACGGGAGAGAGGCTAGGGGCCTCTAGGAGCTAGAGAAGCCCTGGGCGGGGACTATCCCTTGGCACCTCCTGGAGGAACCAGCCCTGCCCAGACTCCAGCTCAGGGAGGTGAGTCCTGACCTCCAGTCTGACCTCCGGGGCCACAGAAAGTGCATTTATAGCATTATAACCACCGGACGACAGCAGCCATGGAAATGCACGCAGCACCACTAACGGCGAGCTTAGGAGACATCGCCCGCGGTGACGTTCCTCTCCCCGAGCCGGCACAGGCAGCGTTTGTCCCATGGAGCCTGGATGGAAGCTACGTGCAAGACGCTGCATGGTGACACACCTGGGCCAGACGCAGGGAGGGAGGAGGTGACCGAGACCCCATTGCCAGGGCTGCACGCCCCCTCCCCAGTCCCCGGGGACACAAGGCCCCTCTGAGGGACCCTGGCCAGGGGCCGGCAGTGGCACACACATTATGGGAACGCAGTGTGGGCAGTGTGGCCCGTCACCTGGGAAAGGGACCCTCTCTGTTCTAAAAAGCAGTTGACACCAACAGACAGTGGCCTTTAGCTGTGGGTGGGGCACTCAAGGAGGAGCTCCGCCTCTCCCCTGGAGACACAGCCCACAAAGCTGCATTGCTCCCACCGCCGCTGACCTTCCCACGCCCTCCTCAGAGACTCTGGACTGGGTGATGGCCTCCCCACGGCAAGGTCGCCCCTGAATCACAGTCACTGTGACCTCGAGAGAGAACACAGCCACAGCGTGAGGGCTGGGCTGATTCCCTGCCAGCCACAGGCGCCCTTCAGGCACACATCTGCCTTCTGAGGTGGGGATTGGGGTGAACACCTGTAATCCCAGCACTGAGGGAGGCTGAGGCAGGAAGATTGAAGTTCCAAGACGACTTACTAAGACCTTGGATGGATATGTTTTAAAAAGGGCCAGGAATATAGCTCTGTGGTAGAGCACTCCTGAGTTTGATCCCTGGTACTACCAAAAAGAAAGCGAGAAAGAGAGAAAGAAAGAAAAGAAAGGAAGAAAGGAAGGAAGGCAGGAAGGAAAGAAGAAACTTATCTTCCGGGCCCGGAGTGCAGGTCACCCGTGTGTGCATCAGTCTGAAGCCACCGCCGGGCCACCCTGTCACGCTGGAGAGCTGAGCCCCTGCATGGCACGAAGTCCCCAGTAGTGTTCACTCCTTTCTGAGGGCGAGGGCTGCCCGAGTTGCCCCAGTGCTGCCCCATGCTCACAGGGCAGGCATCTCCGAGGTCAGAGGTCACCTTGGCTTGCAGCCTGGGCCAGGGAAGGGGCAAGTGGGACTTTCGAGGGTGCCCACCCTTCAGTGCTGACTGTAGATGCTCCTACGGGGTGAGTTCTGGGTGCCCAGGGGTCCAACACGGACTCAGCAGGTACTGGTCCCCCCAGCCCTGCCCGCCAGGCCCCGGGCACCCAGCTGAGCATTTTTACAATATTAACATTAATTTTTTCGCAATCCCCCTGAGGGAAGCTGTCATCTTCATCCACGGATGAGGAAAGGGAGGCGCAAAGCAGTAGATTTACCCACTGCCGTGGAGCTTGTGGAGGACGGACAGCTAGGACAGTGTCGTCCAGCACCCCTCATCCTCCCCCAAGACTCCGCCTCTCCTGGACCTCGAAGATGCTCAAGCCGGGCTCTCCTTGAGGGACACAGAGGCCCTGCTCAATCTCCCAGGCCTGCTCTGGCCAAGCAATTGTCCCATGGGGTCCCCTGACAGGGACAGCCCCAGGGAGCAGCTGCTGGGTACTAGGAGACACCATCTCTGATGGACCCACACTTGGGTCCAAGCACCCATGCCCATGTGGCCCACATCTGTTCCCAGCTGGCCCTGAGCAAGGGCAGAGAGGCCTCGGCCCCTGGCCTGCCCTGAGCTCAGCCTGTGTCTGAGGCCCTGAGGGCACTGGGCCCCAGCGTGGCTCTGATTCCTGCTCGGTGGCCAGCAGCCCGCTTCCTCTGCAGCCTGCCTCGCTGCGGAGTGGACCCTTTGGGGCATTCACTCATTCACCCGTGCACCAGCCGTTCCGGGGAGAGAACCCAGGGCCTCACACGTGCTAGGAAAGCGCTGTACCACGGAGCTATACACCTGGCCCGGAAATCTCGGTTTTAAGCTAACATTCCTGAAAGGCAGGGCTGAGACTTAGGGCTCTCTAGTTCCCAGAAGAAGGCTTGGTAAACAGGGCGTGTTTGGTAATGAGAAGTACCTGAATGAACAAACAAACAAGGGAAGCGGTGAAGCCCTAAGTGAGATGCTGGCCGGCTCGGCCCCACGACCCCTTCTCTAGCTCAGGAAGCCCACACGCACGTTAGCCATTTGGAGCAGACAGCAGCCCCAGCCTGTGCGGTGTGAGTCTCCGGGGGAGGCTGCAGAACTCCCAGGCTGCTCTGGCCAGCCCCGGTGACACTGTACCCCACGGCCCAAGTTTATCAGACAGGTAATACCAACTCCACAGAGCGTGGGCCCTGGCGGGGGGGTCCCAGGGGCTGGGTCTCGAGACAGCTGGGCTGAGGGGAAGAGGGCAGGGCTGTCTGGCTTGCAAAGCCCTGTCCGCCTCTGTGTGAGCCCTGAGAACCCGGCCCAGCCAGGATGCCCGACGGAGAGGCCACACTCTGCGAAGAGACCCCACCCACAGCCCCTCCGCGGGGCGGGGGCTCCCTCTGTCCTGGAGGCAAAGCCTACAGAGGGCACACGGTGGGTGGCAGAGCAGGGCCCCCTCTTGCTCATCCTGCACACGGCCTCACCCACCACCACCACCGTGCTGCCTTCAGAGGGTACTGACAAAACTGGCAGCGAAATTCCACCCAGGGGCTCGCACTCGGGAAGGCTGGAGAGCTGGACGGCAGCAGGGGCCAGGGAGGGCTGCAGGGGTCTCGGCCAGGCCCTTCCCAGAGGCCCCGGCTGTCTGTCAGCAGCGGCAGCTCCACGGGACAGAGGAGAAGGAAAGAGAAAACCGAAGAGGGGAGGGAGAAAGGAGGGGAGAGGGACAGAGGTTGATTTTGTTTTCTGCAGTACTGGAGGCTGAACCTGGAGCCTTGGCCCTGAGCTCCGTCCCCAGGCCTTTTTTATTCTGTATTTTGAAACAGGGTCTTCCTAAGTTGCTAATGTGCGCAAGCTGGACTTGAACTTGTGATCCCCTGCCTCAGCCTCCCAGAGTGCTGGGATCACAGGCGCGTGCACCGGCCTGGCTTTGAAGCAACCAGGTAAGGTGGTGAAGAGGACCTCCAGCCCCCCCGCCCACGGCCCTCCCTGTCCCATGCGTGTTTTATGTACATGACCACACCCTGGCCTGTTGCTGTCCAGAGCGGACCCGCTGTGGCTGCAGTGCCCGCAAAACTCAAACCCAGCGGAGGAGGAGTAGGCGGTGTTCTCGGAACCGCCTCGACCTCAATCTTCCAATGGCCCACCCTGCTATTATTACCCAAATTCATCATTTTCACATTAATCCAATTAGCGTCCTGTTTACCGAGGCCTGACTCTTTAATTTGCAGCTTTATTCTGAAAGCTCAGCGACACGTTCTCAACTCTATCCCTCCTCCCTCATTACTGCCAAATAATTAGTCACAGAGCCTCCCCGATCAAAAATTAAGGAGCCGGCAGCAAGCCGGAGCATGCCTTGCTGCAAAAGGGGGAGCTGACAGGAGGCTCCTCTAATGAGGAGGGGTTGTTGACAGTCGGTGACGGGAGAGGCGCGGGATGTGGGAGGCGGTGGCGGGATCTCCCGGAGTTTGTGTCTCCGAACCGCAAGGCGACACTAGCAGGGCCCTCTCCTGTCACACCGCAGCAGAGTCCACCCGGCATGGGCCACGGTGCCCATTCCCGAGCACGCAACGAGCCTGACGGCCCGGGCAGGACTAGGGCTGTCTGTGCCACCTGTGGGGGAAGGCACCGCTTCCAACCGCAGACTCAGCTGCCCCCTGGGGCCGACAGACCAGTGAGGGCCGGGGTGCCCTCTAGGGACCCTCTCGCGGGCCTCTGCCGTCTCCAAAGCACACAGCCACCGCCGCAGGGCAACAGGACCCGCCCTGCGGCCCAAGCCGCTCTCCTTGTCCCCACAGTGGTCGGCACTGCCCCC